TCATGTTTACAGCCAGGGCGCTGCTCTTGAGGATACTGGGCAGGAGAACCGGCGGATGTCGCACCAGGACACCACCCAACGCTTCCCCCAGGCGTTACCGATTGTGCTGAAGGTGAAGGACTGTCTCAGCTTTGGCACATACGTGCTTGGCTTGTCGTGTCCTAATGGCTTTACGCCATTGCAGAACACTGGCTGGTTCTCGCATCGTCAAAGCGGTAATTAACCGGCCTCCCTCCGAGGGTTGTCTTCTGCGGTTAGAGTTTCGCGAAGGGCAACTCCTGGCAGTCTTTGTAGAACTGGTAGTCCCTGACAAGCTACGTGGAAAAACCCGCGAGCAACGCAAGGCAGAGCGACGCCAACACCGCCTCAACCCCACGGCGGCCCTCCTGCTCATCCGCCAGTGGCCCTCCTTCCTTGGGGCCCCCCGCAACCTGATCACGTTTGCAGCTGGGATCTTTCCCTTCGCAGCCTATCGTGCATTAAAGTGGGGGGGGCGCTCGCCCGCGCTCCTCACTTTCCAGCTGCCCCAAATTTTTGACGTCGGCCGAGTTTGTCGCACTCAAAAAGCGCATCCGGGCCCTTCATCCAGTGGCGGAGCGCCACAATCCCCGGGATCCCTTCAGCAACAACTGGCGATTGCCGGCGGCATTGATCCCTCCCGAGTTGCACACCTTGGCTGCCCTCATGGGACAGACCTTTTGTCGACATATCGATGAGTTGCTCAACAGTCCGGACGGACTCCTGAGTGGACACATATCGGCCATCCTGGCTGCCCGGGCACAAAGACGCAGCTCGCTCAGCATCTTGGGGTGCGCGGGCTCTTCCAAAACCTTTTCCCTGTGGTGCGCTCTGGTCTGCATGGACACTGTGTTGGAGCAAACTGTGTTTTGGACAGCTCAACAGCATTCAGCGCTCATTGCAGTCGTGCGCATCGCCTCCAACCTCTTGGCCGATGCCCCAGAATGGCTGCGTCCGCTCGTTGTTGTGCGGAGGGTCTCCGGCGATGCTGAAATGATCGACCCGTGTTTTGACCATGTGCCCTTCACCGAGGCTGCTGAACACCAAGCGGCAGGGCTTGGGGACATCGCCACACGGTTCAGCCCGGGGTAACGGGGCGCAGCGCGCGTCTTGCCTCCCCTTCGGTCAGTAGCGCTCACATGCTGCTGCTCACACAGGGGTCGGCTGCGTTGCAACTGCGATATGCCTCCTACAGTGAGGTTAAGACCTTCCTCAACAGTGCGCATGGTATTGTGATTGATGAGGGGCAACAGGAGGGGCAGCCCTCCTCGGCTGCCATCCTTGCCAATGCGGAAGGTCAGCTTGTCATTCGCACAGGCGACCCACGACAACCCGCTGGAGGCGGCAAAGGTGAGGTTCAAACGCGCACGCTGGCCCGCCTCAGCGCCAAACCCGTTGGCGTCCGCGGCATTGCTCAGTTGGCCCCGCAGCCGGTTTCTCCAGGGCGGCTCGCCGCTGCACTGCGTGGCTTGGTGCAGTCTACCCCGCAGGGACCGCTTCACACAGTCAGGTGGTCCAGCCTCGGACATCGCCACAATGGCCATCAGGGCGCCGAGCCACCGGGCACCAGTCTCACAGTTATGTCGAGAGTTATCGGAATGCCTCTTTGGAGTGGAGGCCGAAGTGGAGGTCGGCCTAGACGTGGATCTCCGCGACCTCCGCGGCTGCCGGGTAACCCGACAAGGGCTGAAATACTTCATCCCTTATTCCGGCATCACAAGCATGGGGTGATCGGGTGTGTCCACACCCCGGTCGCCTTACGCCAGCGGCTATTGCGGTGGACTTCCTCCACCAGTCGGCCTCCCATAGCGAAGCGATCCTGTGCTACCTCAACCGGCTGTCGGCAGTCGGCGCAATACTTGCGCCGGCCAATACGGCTATACAAGCTGAAGGCCTAGCCCCTATTAACGGGGTTTGCTTGAACTTAGCCCTCGTTGCCTCCACCCGATTGCTGGCCGATCTTTATCTCCTCATCACTGCCGTCAGGTACCCGCAATCAATAGTCCTGCACAAGGCCACGGACGCCTCTCCGTGCCCGATTACTATTGGGGAATTGGCGGCGGATACCCCCGCGCGGCGACTGCAGCGAGTGGCGGCCGAAGGCTCTCATCAGCCAGGCGTGTACTTCATTCGATTACCGAAGCAGACATCATCGGCCATGCGCCAGGGGAACTTAGTGGAATTGCTCTGTGTCCTACTGGTCCTTGCTTACAATGTCTGCGGACATCGATTTGCTTTTCAGGCAGGACGGAAAATCACGGTTGTCACACCGACCACTAGGGTTTTTGACTCTCTCAAGCATGGTCTTGGCCTCAGCAATGCGCGCCCTGCCAACGCCGACACAGGTGACGCGCACAGGGTCGTCGCTGAGGGCACCTCCTTTGCGGAGTTCATTTCCGAGTGGTTGCCGGAGCTCCCCCCTCCGGGGCAGTTAGCCACTGAGGAGCAGGCCGCATCCCTTCTTTTATGATCATCACAACGAACTGGGAGCCTTCATTGACCTTTTCACCACCACAGTGTGTGCGGGCACCACGGGGGCGGTTGACATTTGCCTTATAGACAGGGCGGGGCGCTTTACCATGTCAGGAGAAGACGCCCACCAACGGCTCACCGCAGGCAGTACACGACCCACGGGCCCCTTGATCATCGCCTCCCCCTCCCATTGGTGGGGCATTGTTGCTGCATTAGAGCTGCATGCTTCCCTCCATCACACCCACGTCCGATGGGAGGAACTCTACCAATCATACGGACTCGCCAGGCTTGGACTTCAAAGCCCACCGCGCGCGGATAGGGAGACTGCCCGGGAATTCTATGAACGGTGGTCCGTGAACCGCGTTCCTCCGCTCTGCGATGCTACAGCCGTCGCTGCACACAGTGGCATGGACGGTTACCCGGTCCAGCTCCTCCTCCGGGGTGTGGGTTTTGAGCACAGTGGACCTAGTGGCCAATCCATCAAGGCACGCCCGTTCTATCCTGTGATTGACACCGATTGCCCAGTCTTCGGACTGCTAGAGTTCACTACACCGTTGCGGTTTGGTCTCTACTGTCTTCGAGAGCACAAGGGTGTGGGCGTGCCTCCCCCAAAAGGCTATACAGTGCGCTCCGTTCCACTCACCACAGGTCTCTCATCGGGACTCACATGTCCTTCGACCCCCCAGCGACAGTGTGTCGGGGCCAAGCCAGCTCATCGGAGCCGCTTGTTACCGCAGTGCCGGGGGCCTTCTACCTTTTCGCCATTGCCTCGACACGATCAACAAGACGTTGCTTGGGAGGTTGCAGCGCTTCGTCTCGTCACAGGTACGTCACTCCAGCCCTGAAACGGTCATGTTGCCACCGGTTGCTACTACGGGCTTGCCACGTGCCCTCTATGACCCGGCGGGAAAGGTTCGCCCGGACCCGGACACAGGAATGCCTGTCAAAGAGGATCCTGCGCTGACTGCGGAGTTGCGCAGTCAAAGCTGCGCTGCCTCCCTTCCTGCTGCACCTAGTGCTACATGGAGCCAACGTGTGGCAGCCTTGTTGGACGCAGTGGAGACTCCGCCTTGCCGCCTGGTGCCGGGAGTTACATCCATTGCCAGCCGGTGTGTACCGGCAGAAGACGAGGGAGAATTCGAAGAGCAGCATGATATCCTTCGGCGCTACCAAGCTCGGGGCAGGCAACAGCGGCCTGTCGAAGGAATGGACTGTGCGGGTGCACTACAACAGTTGTTGCCCAATCCCACCGATTGCCTGACCTTGCTTTGTAAAATCCTTGCTCGTTTTCAGTTTTTCACCTTGCCAACTTAAAAGCATCACGCATGATTGTAACTTGTCAACTTGGTGTGATGCCGCAAGGTTCGTGCTCCGATGTAGGACACGTCGATTTTAGAAATTCCCACACACCCACCCGGGGGTTGCGGGATGTGCCGCATTCACTTGGAATTCAAGTCAAGAAGTGTATTCCTGAGACATCTTTCGAATGCCCGTTTTCAAACATTCATCAAGATTGAACATATCGTGATTTGAACTGTGCCTGATCTTTCCCGTACGCGGAATAGATGGAGTGCTCTTGTACGTTGTTCGAGCTTGTAACATTCCAGTGAAAATAAGCGATTTTAAACCCGCCCACCCGCCCGGCAACGGGGGGAAGGGGGAATATCGTGTCCTGCTGGCCATCTGGTCGTTGCGGCGTAGAGGACACGAAAGTGTTTGCACCCCAGTTCCTGGCTTCGCCAGCCCACTACCTTGATATTCTGAATTGAGAGAGCGTGTGGATTGCCCAATTTTTACATATGATTCTTGAACATATTGGCCCCGTAGGCGGGGCATCATTGTGCGGTTTTGAAATTTCTCTAGACAGGCAACTGCGCACTCTTCGGATCTGGTGCTTTCTCACTATTTCGATTTGCGCCATGGATCGGATAACAGATGCATCTTCCTCAACGGCGGCTTTTGTGCTCGGAGTCGCCGTGAGCGTGTTTTGCAACGGCGCATTATTTGTTGGTCTCCAGATCTGCTGATGTGCATATATAATGTTTGCTTCGTCCATGTGGTGTTTCTTCCTTTGCTCGCGATTACGTGAGCCATGTTAGTCTTGTAGAGTGATGAACATCGTTATTTCGGCCGTTGGCCCAATGATGCTTCTCAACTAGTGATGCGGATTGGAGTTACAAGTGGAGAAGAAGTTGATGACCGAGTACGTGCGATGTACTTTGTCGTGTGCTCCTTTGTGCCTTCCATTACTAGTTGGAAATTAAAAGGCGAAATCCAAAACCACTGCTTGCCACAACTGTTTCTCAGCTTTTTCGGAAAACCGAAATTCAATCATTTGCAGCCAAAAAATTGCAGTGTGTCAGTGGATGTCGGTGGTTCAGCCAGCATTCAGCTCTTTGAATCCATTGAGCATTTATGTGGGGTGATTATAAGATCCAACATTTGCATTCTGGCGTTTCAAGGACTCCGGGTCATTAATGTTGCGTGTAATCCATGCAGAAGTATGACTTATGGCACCTGGAACCCGGTTCATCGTCACGGCGCTGCGTGCTAAAGGGTGGTTTCTAGCTTGTTGCGGCACGATCGCCGCACAAGGCTTGTACAATTATGCATCACAACCAACAATTACATGCAACCAGCACAGTTCATGCCGTGCAGCCATGGATGAGTCGAAGGCTCGACGTTGCATTTTTGGTACAGCGTGTGTTGGCTTTTGACATGGTCCGCCGGAGGCAAAAGTGTTGGAAGAAGTCCAGCGCTTGAAGGTGTGTTCGCGACCATCGGTGGGCCACAGCGTTTATTTTACGAAGCGCAGGGGCTTTTGCTGGATGGAAGCGCAACGAAGGAGTCGGAGCGCAACCCGGAAGTTTTCTGGACCCTCCTGCAAGCGGCCCTCACTTTTGCTTTCGGCCCCGAGGTAATATCCGCGTTGGACCAACTCCACAAGCTCGGAAGTTCCTTGCCCTGTTGTGATGACCGTTATGTCCTGTCCTTGCACGCAATCTCCCAGTGATTTAGTTACGGCGTATATCTCAGGTTTGTCGACAAGAATCCTGGGGGAGACAATGGTGGGCACGGCACGCAGACGTGTGTGACTTTTCGCCTGCACGGCTCGTCATATTCCATAGTAAAGCGAATACCAGCCAGCGTAAAGCTTCATTGTTAAGAAAGCATGTGACAGAAAGGCCGAGCTGTTCACGACGTGGGCCGGGACGCCGTGGATCCCGAGATCCGAAAAAAGGCTCGAACCCTCGAGGCTCTTTGGAGGCTGGGACTAGCGGAGGATCGGAGGAGAGCACCGGGGCCGGGGAAGGGGCGTCTTGCGTCTGCAGAAACGAATACAAGAAGCGGAAGTCAACGACGGGCATCGGAGACGAGTTGTTGGTCTCTTAGCCTAGAGGGTTCGTCCTCTTTCTCGTGTTCTGGCGGCAGTCGTGTAAGGCTCCTGAAGCGGCGCTTGAGCTCCGATGTCTCAGAGGCGCGGTCGCGCCGCGCCGCGCGGTCGCGTTCCTGGGCGGAGCGGCCGGCTACGCTGCAAGCGCCGAAGGCACAAGCACCTTCACAAGAGCTCGATGGTGAAAATGCGGGCCCAGCAGGCCACGGCCCGAGAGGATGACAGGGGGAAATTTCAGGATTTCCAAATTTCCCAAGGACCACAAGGACCAGGACCATCTCCGACAATTTATCCGCCGGAGGACACTCGATGGGGCATGTTTCGCACCCTTTTCTGCCGGTTCCGTGCAGGCAAGCCGCCTGGAAAGGGCATCATACTGAGCACTTCTGACCGCCCGTGAAACCTTCAAGTGATTCAGACGTGCCTCTGCCAGAGGCAAGCTCGACGCTGTCTTCATCCTCCCAGGCAGCACCTTGACAGTTCTTCATGGCCTCGGACGGCCTTTTCCTAGAAGTTGCCAGGTGGCAGACAAGAAAGACGATGCCTATCGGGAGAAGGCCTCGCTGTGTCCATTCAACCATTGCCCCCACCGTCCAGAGCTTTCCTGCTGTACCGCTCAGGTCCGCGCAAAGCTCATCGACGCTTTGGGCAAGCAGGAAGAGATCGAAGCCAAGGGCGGTCTTGGACCCGGAAGCCTCGGCTTCGCCGCTACGCTCACAGGTCAGAGCCTCTCTGCCCTCTAAGGCGAGTCCCAAAAGACTTCGACGATGCGGGAGCTGCGAGAGCTCTTTGAAGTCGTAACTTCGGAAGACTTCGGGCGTGTCTTGACGCGAGGACCCGATCAAGCTCGCAGAAGAGATCGAGGAGGCTCGTGAGAGTCTCGTGAGTCTTCGTCTTCGGGAGGAAGCGTTCCGCAGGAGCTCCACAAGGTCTGGCCCAACAAGAAAGATGTCGGGAGCTTGGATCCCCAAAAAACATCCGAGGGGCCGCCAGCCGCCAGCCACCAGTCGCCAGCTGAGGCCTACATGAACCAGGCCCGGCTGGAGACTAAGTGCCCCGCTCGAGGGCTGCCGAGCCCCATGTCCAGCGGTTTTGCGTCTCATACGCTCCTTGCCATTGCAAGCTCCAAAGCTAATGCTGAGGTCCATCCTCTTCAATCTCAAGGACACGAAGAACGCTACCTTTAGGCGCATGTCGTTGGAGCACTGCTCCGCGGAGCTCCGCCGCTCCGCTGCTGCGCCGCGTTACGTTCAAAACGCTCAGGTTCAAAGTTGTCGTTGGCTTCTTCCAGCCGGGCCAGCTGCCCAAGCTGACGGCAGAGGACATGGTGCGCCGCAGCCCTGCTCAGACAGCCGTCTCCGTAGATTGGTGAGGGCCAGCTGTTGGCAGCCTCAGTGGAATGGGGCGTGAGTTGGAGTGGAGAGGAGTTGAGTAAAATGGATTGGGGATGAGAGCACCGCGGCGGCTTAAAGTTGAAAGCAGGCCAGCGACGAAAAGAATGCCGAGCGAGCCAAGCAGAGGCCAAACAAGCATTGCCTTCGGAGCTGTTTTCTTGGTGTCTTTTTTCTGTACCATGTCCCACAGGCAATATGCTATGGAGGCGTTGGACCAGGGTTGGGCATTGAAGAACGGGCAGTGACTTGGATCGTATTGGGCACAATGCATTGTCTGTTGATACTTCTCACTTGGGTTGGCGGATTCGATACCGTGCGTGTATGCTCTCAGGCAGCTGACAACCGGAATGTTCACCTGTGGCAAATGCAAGGCCTGCCATCGTCACCTTCTCACTCCAGTGCATCTTGTTATCAAGCATTTTTTCTACTCTTTGTGGGGAATCTCGTCCTTATCCTTGACCGGGCGAGATCACGACATCAATAATTGTGTCATGGTGATCGTCAAGAAATGCCGGCCTCATGGCCAGGTGTCATGTGACCTTTTAAGGCTGTTCTGCTGAGCGAGCAGTCAATTCAGAATTTGTGGGAGCGGAGGGGGAGGGGGTGCTATGCGTGTGCCTGGGCAGCGGAAATGCGAGGCAACGGGAAGTGGAAGCACCGATGGAATGCACAGGACATCACAGGAGCATTTGACAGGAAGCCTGCCAGCATTCCAGCATGCGAGCGAAAGCCCCTCGAAAAGCTTACGATTCACAGGCGACACTAATGTGATTGGGGCGATTTCCTGTTGTGCTTTGTCTCAAGTCTCGGCAGCTAGATGTGTCGATGTCGATGAGAAGTGCAACACCTGCAGGGCAACAAAACCACTTACTTCCAAATGCAGACGAGGCCCAATGCTTGCAACCAAGAGCTTTTGGTGCATGCTTTGATTCTTCGGTCAGGTCATCCGATGAGCCCATGACAACCTTTGTCACATGTGCTGCGCCGAGTGAAGAATCCAGTCCAGCGGCGAATCGCTCTCGAGCATCTGACATATGCTCCCGCTGACTCTTGCTCGCCTTTCGAGGTTTGACCTGTGGAAATCGTTGGAAATTCTGTTGAGCCCTGCATTGCCCTGATTGCCTGCCTGAGACGAATGTACATAGAACTACGCTTGCAACCTGGGATGTTGTGGAGGAGCAGCGCAAGAAGGCCCCACATGCTTAGCACGAAGCGCTTTGCGTGTAAAGCAAACGAAGCCACGCCTTCTCGTGCATCGGGCTCACAGAGCAGCGGGCCGCGGGCCCGCCCAAGCCGCGCCATGGGAGCATCCTGCAACTCGCCTGGTTGCTGTCGTGGCTGGTTGAAGTTTAACGTTGTCTTGGGGGTGTATTATTCCCCAAACAGTTTACTGTACGGGTTCTCAACTAGTAGAAGGATTTGCCGGGTTGCCGGTAGCCGTTGCCCTCCGGTTCGTCTCCCTCCCTTCATTTTTCTCTGTCTGTGGGTGGCCATTGCCAGGTTCCTGGGCTCCTTGTCTCCCTTTGTCTCTCTTATATCCCGGTCTGGGGTGTGGGTGCTTTGTTTTCCTTCCAACCTTAACAACGATTGTAGCCGGACGGACGCGTGAGTATCAGTTCAGGTGTGCGTAGAGTGGGCTCTGTGCCACCCCAAACAAAAACATGCTAAAACTAATTAACCCCCCGTGTCGTACTACATTTAAGGACCTTCCGCACCGGTGTGCAGAACCCATTGGCGGCCATCAGGGTTCGCGGCTGCCAAAGGGGATCTCCCCGTATCAAGGGGCGCTCCTTCGTGGGCTTCCAAAAAGGACCTGTGCAGTTCACAGGGGTGGCTGATGCGTTTCAGGAGCGCTTGGGCACTTCGGACTAAAACATGTTTCTCAGCCCTCGTGGCGCGAGCAACCGCAGCCATGCCTTCTTGAAACCCAACTTGGCTGACATGCAACAGCGGGCCCTGGAGTCTGACGGCTGGTAGGCAAAGCTGCTCTGTATCATCGACGGCACATCCACTCTCACAATCAACTGCAGGTGAGACGGTGGCAATATGTGGCAATCAAGGGCGCAAGACAAGGAGTTCCACGGGACAAGTGATGCTCAAGGCGTGCATTACTCCAGAACTGTTTCAAAAAGGCCTTGCAGTGGGTGCCACTGGCATACCCGAAAACAGGACTGCATTGGCCGTGAGCCGAAGCAAGATGTCCAATGAGCTGTGCACCAGAGCAGCAAACGTAGTTGCACTCATAACAAGCAAGCCGCTTATCACCACCAATCAAGCGCTTCGGCAACACTCCTTGCATCTGCCCTGATGCTCTGCATGCCAGTTGATGCTTGTTCCACCTTTCAAGATGCAGATTGAGCAACCTGAGCTTTCTTGACAACACCTTTCAACACATGCTCTGACAACCAAACCGCGATGTCGTCAGCACCCGCTGTGGTCCCTGGCACCTCTCCAACTTGCGGGCGCCAGTAGCGCAGCCACTGAAAGTCATGTCTGAGGGCTTCAATATAAAAGACGACGGAATCCGGTAGGACAGGCCAAAGTAGAGCAAGTGATCCTGCCACCTTGAAACCAATATCAGGTTTTGGTTTCCTTGATTATGTGTGTCAGGCTGAGACCAAAACGAGTTTTCGTCTGGGTCACATAGGAAAACCCGTGTTTAGTTTCGTTCTGTGGGTTCGTCACCCATCTCACAAACGGATCTCCGTGACTTGTGTGGGCGACCGCTCGGCCGATGAGGTTTGCTGCGTTTCAGATGCTGAAGATACGTAGTTGGGCAGGTGGCTGCCGACGGTGTTCAGCTTGGAAACGTGCCCGACCGAGCTCATGAACTCTGTGGCCCTGGACCTCGATGTGCCTTTCAATGGCAAGCTGCTTCAACTCTGCCACGACATCGTCTTCGCTGGCAACAATCATGTCCCGAAGCCACAACTTGACCACCACACACCGAGAGGAAAGTCTCGCGGGTGAGCGGCATCAAGAGCTGAAACCTGGGGCCCACGGTCCACGTAAAAGTGCGCGGCCTTCTGAACGGTGCTCCCACATCCAGAGGGGAGAGCTGCAGCACGGACGTGCACCATCCGCAGTCGTACGTCTCCTTTGAAGGAAACAAGTGCGAGCACTCCTGAAGCATCCAATCGGCTCCAGTGTACGCAGTGCCCAAACCACATTCCTGCCGGCAGATGAGGCACCAGCCCCTTTGGTTCGTCAAGCCCTTCCCGCAAGCTCTTCTCACCTCCTTGAAGAGCCGCTCCATGCAGTGCTTACTCATTGCCTTGAGGTCGGCCTTCAGGTTGGGACTGCGAGCCTTTTTGATCTTCTCAGTCCTCCTCCTCATTTCAGTGACGATGAACAGAAGCTTCTGCACCACCTTCGGGTGCATCTGCTTTGTGATATGCCCGAGGAGATGCATGGGCCTCACCTTCGATGCAATAATCATCTCCTGGCAGCGGGCATCATTCTCGAATGCTGACCAAAATCGACATGGCCCAAAGTGGCTCTCAAGGCCGATACCGCCCAGCTGGTGACTGGCTATGCGACTGAAGACATGCTCGAAGGTGCCCAGGCCGGAATATGCTGAAGCTACCCAAATCTTCCTCTGCATGTACCCCAGCAGTCGGGAAGTGAGCCCATGATTTGCAAGCAAGGCATCCTGCAGCCGGGGTATATCATCTGGCCAATCCGACAGCTTGCTTGCAATCCCCGCCAGCAGCCCCGCGCCCCCTCCGACGGCAGCGACGACGGGCTGCTGCCCAGACCTGGCGAGCTTCTGTACGCCTACAAGAAATTCAAACTGATGACCTCCATCTGGGTGGACAGCCGCAAAGGGGTGGCAGGCACGGACGCCGACTTTGAATTCGACGTGGGGCAAACGGTGCACCTCCAGGGCTCCGCAAAGCTTTCTGTGTTCAAGATCAGGGTGGCCGACACCTTCTTGAGCACCGACAGGGGCAGCTACCTGTACTGGAGGGATCAGGCCCTGGGCACGCTGAATTGGGCTCAGCTGCCCACGGGAGCGTACACAGGCGTCAGGCTTGCGGCTTGGATCAGCAGCAACTTTGCCACCGCCACTTACGTGGAAGCCACCGACGAGATCGGCGTGTTCGTTGTGTACAGGCTGTACAGGATTGCCCACATGGGTCCATTCCATCGTTGCGCCGTTGTGTCATAAAAAAAGAAAGATTCCCCAAGCCCAAAGACCTTGACCGCAAAGATTATTCGCGTAGGTGTGCAGCTTTGCGACCCCACCAATATACCCAGCATTCTGAACAAAGAACAGTAGCATTGAGAAGGTCTTATCCGAAATATAGGGCTCGTGTGTCCTTACTGCTTCCTCGTGGCAAATTTGCGTTGCTAGATAGGAGAAACTCCGGGCATTTTAGGTCACAAGTGTTCTGTTATCTATGTCCAAGGTGGTTTGGGGAAATATTGTTCGGGCGACGAGACAATTTCAGAGGATTGGTCTGCAAGCTCTTTCTTGCAAGTGACCTCATGCAGCAGTGGCCGAACGAACATCCTTGGCGCCTCTGCCGATGTGCCTTGTGAAAGCGGATAGGCTCACAACATTGACTTGTCGAAGTGGCTTTGTGAATTTTGGGCCTATCAGTGTACACGTGTCTTGGAGATGTCATCTTGCAGTTGCTGAAGCTCAACTTCGGTCGCAATGAGCAAGGCTCTGGGGGCGACATGTGCAATCAATATGTGTGTGTGTACTTTGTCAGCTTCAGCCAGACATCACACTTGCACATGGTAGACCAGCTATGTTGCATGAACACAAGCGTTGCAGAGCAATGAAAGTCTACGTTGAGTCTGTGGTAGGCTGGTCTCATGTCGCAGCAATGGTTGTGGACAGGTTTCGAGAAAGCTGCTAGCCCATTGCCTTGGAATGCTCCTGAGTCTGTGAGAAGCAGCTTGGGAAATCTGGACTGCGAGAGTTCGTGTCCTGCAAGTTTTTCAGATGACCCATGTGCGACCGTGCCCAGGGGTTTAATTCGGTTAGTTTTGGTGGGTTTTATCAGGATAGGTGCACTCAGATGCCATTGCTTTGTGAAGATACATTGATCCAGCCACGGCGGCACAAAGAGCACCGGGAAAACGGAAAAAAAATTGCACCTGCAAGGTTAAGCTCGGGTTCGTCTGCCTGGATCACGTTGCCTACAGCAGTCAACTCTTCCACGGACACTTGCTGCAAGCATAAATTTGCTGTACCCTGGGACACTGCCTCGCGATCGGTTTCTTCCAACAAACTCCACTGCTCTATGGAAACAACACCTGCACTAAACCTTGGAGTGACCTTCACACTCTTGCTGCGGCTAGCCTCCCTGTGCGCAACTCGCAAACGCTTCTCCAAATGGGGCATGGCTTCCCAAACAAGAAAGAAATGACTTGCATGCACTCGAACCCGCACGGCATCTAGAGCATTGCACATGCAATGCTCTCGCAAGAAGTGGGCTTGCTCTGTCCATCATTTCGTAATGTTGGGAAGGTGGGCGCATCAGTGCCCCAAACTGAAAGAGTTTCTTCCTCCTCAGAATGTGAGAGCATCCGTGCCGGCACAGCCAGCGTGCCTGACGGCAGCGGCTGCGGAGAGATGCGTTGAGCTGTTGCGGGATGGACTGCGCTTGGACACTTTGCGTTGCATCGAGGATTTGTCAGCCCACAGGGATTCTTTGGTGCCTGATTCTCGGCGTGTGCGTTTGTTCAACAAGGTCACTGAAGACGCTAGTTTCGTAAGGCAGATCTTGAGAAGCTTGGATTTGAGGAACCGTGGCAAGTTGAAGCAGCATGCACGAAAGTTCATAGAATGTATTCCCGAGGGTTTGAGGCCCGGTTCGATGGCTTGGGTGCAAAGTGCTTTTGCCAGTTCTTCCAGGTTGTGTGTTGGGAGATTGCAATTACACATTGCGATGTTGCTGTTCCAGCGAGCGAGAGTTCAGGCCAAAGGTTCGGTTCTGCGTTACGTGCGGGGTGATGCTACAACTAAGCGGCCATGGGAAATTTACACTGCCCGTTATCGCATGTGCAACAGTGCAGACGTGGTGTCTTTGGCCAGAGCGTTCAAATCGCTTACGGCGATTCCTGCGTCTTCAGAAGACTCGGCAGCTTTGCCGGAGGACGTGCAAGCTCAGCGTTGTGTCTATTCCCAACTGCTGTTTGATAGCTTTGAGTTGCATACTCAAGTGCCGCAGTTGCTGGGGCAGGGCAGAACGAAGCTCATAGACAAGGTGAGCGCTCATGTGCAGTCGGCTTTGTTAGAGGCCGGAGACTTGGAGGGTCTGCAGGGCTACCTAAGGTCATGCGTGGCTTGGTGCAGCGACATGGGGGTGGAAGCAGGGATTCCGGATTGTGAGGTGCAGTGCATCGAAAGTGTCTTGCCTTCGTGCCTCAGACCTTCTCGTTTGCAGATGTGCAACATGGAGGATGCAAGTTTTGCAGATGAGGGCTTGCTGTCAGCTGAGCCCGAGAGTGCACATGAAGGCAATCTGATGCCCAATGCTGTTCATGTGCCTGGGACATGCCATGCAATCCACAATGCTTGCTTGAATCCAGATACGGCCCTCAGCGACTTTGGCTGGTTCCTCACACACGTGAAGAAGCTACATCCTTTGTTCTCTGTGAAAAGACGAAGGGATCGGTTCTTGCAGGTGGCGCTTCATGGAATGCCACAGTATGCAGATTTTGGAAGCTTTCTCAGGAACCCTGCGCACAGAAAGGTGGGGAGAGCTTGCAGGATACTTGCATGAGGGCTACCCTTTGTTGTTATTCTTTCGACAATACTGGGACGGAGTAGCTTATGCTCGCGGCTTAGACGATGGTGGTGAAACGGAAGATTTTTCTTGTAGTGCCATTACAGAAGTTCTGAACGATGATCATTTTCTAGTTTACTGGCAGCTCCAGATTGCACTCCGGGACATGATTCAGGATTTGCTTCGCTGGGTCGAGGGTTGCCCCTGTCACTCCAGCCTGCTGCAGGGAAAGTCTGCCTTTCGGCAGGAGAAGGCTTTGCGGGAGGAGATCACTTGCCCCACCGAGGTTGCCTGCCAGGGCCCATTGATGGGTTGCCAGGCTGCCGGGTTGGTAGCCGGTCACATGAAGACGTTTGCGGAGACTTTTGCTCAGGAGGGATTTGGCGATTTCATGAGTAAGAACCCTACAGGTTTGTCGTCGGAGCAGTGCTTTCAAGAAAATCTCAAGATCCAACTTGCCTACTTGCAGTCTTTGCCGTAGGTCATCTTGGGTGGGATTCACTCAAGCACAGAGTTATCCAAAGGTGCGGTCGTAAGCTTCTGCAGGCAAAGCATGTGGAATGGTTTCGATCCCATGCTCATTCTTTAGCTGCTCAGCATTCAACAAGCCCAACAAGTAAGATTTCTTGACAGTCACGCCAGGTGTATACCACACCAGCTCTTCACCGAACTTGTATTGCAGTGTAGCACGATCCTTGCGACTGGCGGGGAGATGGCGCCATGTCCAGCCAGCTGAAACTCATGCATTTCTTCAAGCGGCCCTGGAAGAACCTGATTGAGGGCACGCGGCGAAGCCAAACGATGTCTGAAAGAAAGAGAAGCTATCCCTTCCTCACTCAATTGAGCACCAAACCCAGTCATCTGTGCTTAACCTTTTGCTTTCAGAACCTCCAAGGCATCTTCTTCCCGGCTGCCCGCAACAGGAACGACACCAAAGGTACAACCCTCCATTGCATGTTCATCAACCATCCTTTGCAAAAGGCATGAAACAGCTGCAGCTGCCACCTCTGTCACATCCGGGCAACACAACTGCAGCTGGGATGGCTTCTGCCACACTTGAACATTCTGCAAGAAAGCATCCACACCCATGCTAGACGCAACCGCACACAAGTTTACAGGCTCAGCTCCAGGGCCTTCCGCGAGAGCAGACACGACGGGTGCCTCTGCAGTGCCCTCGTTGGGAAGCCTGACAAGCAACATGTCATTCTTATTCATGGTAGCGATGCTACATGGGGCATGTGCTGGCTGGTGAATCCCAGAAAGCCGCAGGAGGAGTGGGGCATACAAGTTCGTTCCGGACAACACCAAACTGGAATCTGCTGCACACAAAGTGCGGACGTGCGCAGTTGCGTGTTCCCCATACAGAAATTCCAACGAAACTTGATCCTTCGTAACAAAAGCCTGCTTGACCTTCTGTGCACCTTGCTTCTTGGTAGTGTTCCAGCGCTGTGCCGCCTGAATATCCCCGTGCTGCACACCGGCATCCCTATAGACAACCAAACGGAGGGCCTTCACATAAGCACTTGTTTGGGACTCTCTGTTTGACTTTAGCGCTTTCAAAAGAGGATGGTTGCTGAAACCAGGGAAATGCTGAGCTAACTGCCTGATTTTGCGGGCAGACCCAGATGCTTCCAACAAGACCGTGAACGCAGCAGGCTGCAAAGCTAGGCACCTGTTCAGCTGGGGCGCCCGGACAAAGCACCCATACTATGATTCTTGGGCAATGCACCGATATCCTTGTGGGCACCTTCAATGATTCTCTCGGCTACTTGCACGAAGGTCAGTGGTGCAAGATATTCTTCCAACAGCGGACAGTCCTGAAGGGAGTGCTCAGGAAGCAAGTACTGTTCTAGTTCATCTCGCAACGGACCGAACAGCTCCTGTGCTTTGCTGTGCTGCAAACGTTTTGCAGCCTCGGGCAGCTCGTCCCAAAGCTGGAGTGCTTTGCGCCAGGTTCTCGCAAGCGAAAGCAGCCAGGAGGGTTAGCGTTAATGGACCTTGAGCTTGATGTGGAAGGGTTGGATTATGAGGTTGATCAGGTTGTGATGCCCGAGCCTCCCTCCCGACCCCGCCGACGAGCCCGTGTTGAAGCCCCGCAGCCTTCACTTGGAGAGCCTGTTGAGCATGCGCCAAACCTTGTGCCCGCTGTCTCGTTGGAGGATGATGACGAAACGAACGAAATCTTAGCAGAGCTGGAGGCCCAGCTTGCAGAGGAGTGTGATTTGCATGAGCCCAGTGGGCTTTCTGCGGAAGCCAGTGCAGGGGCGTCAGCATCGGCAGGCATTGTGGCAGACCCCCAACCGCCATTGCAAGGTTCCATAGAAGTGGCAGCTAGCCTGTAGAGCCTTCCCAGCCAGCCGCCCCTAAAGCAGCCCCTAAGCCCAAACCCAAGATTCCGAGATGGGGGCCCTTTGCATTCCACAGGAAGAATGAGCGCGCCCCCCCACGAGGGCATCGAGGCTGTGTGCCCCTACCACGCCTTAAACAGCAAGAGCGGATGCAAAAGATTTTTGAGCTTGCAAGGCCCGGATGAAGCTTGCGAACAGCGATGCCTGTTGGCACTAAAGCACTGGTGCAATCAGGCAGCAAAGTTTGACAGGCAGCGTGCCCACATACGCGTGCCGTTGAGAGAGTCCGATATCCCTGCCAGCCAGATTGTTGAAATGCAGAAGTTGACTTCGGGGCCACCGGCTGTTGTTTTGACAGATGTCGAGCTTGATGCGGTGTCCGAGTCCAGGGATGTGGGGGGGGGAACCTGCGCATAAAGCAAAAGCTAGGAAGGCAAAAGGCAAGAGCCAAGCTAAAGCAAAGACGAAGGCATCTAGTTCAGTCATTTCGGCCCCTGCTGAATCCGAAGTTGCAGCAGCAGAGTCAGCCAGTGCAGCAGGGCAGGACTCGGGCCCTTGTCAGTCTGGCTCCGAGAGCTCTTCATCATCCTCGTCTTCCAGCTCAAGCAGTTCTTGATGGGAAGGCCAGTCCTTGAAGTTGGGTGTGCGATTCCAGCCTAGCAAGGATACCAGTGATGCTTTGTGCTATGATTATGCAGTCCAACTCAGCGAGCATCGCATTCAGCTTGAATCGTTATATGGACCAGGAGCAGTGGCCTTCATCGTCTGCGGCGTCCTCGTTCAAGGGCCATGGAAGTTGCTTCGCAGGCTGGGTTCATGGGAGCAAATTAAGTTTTCGAGAGAAGGCCAGTCCATGAAGATGCATATGTTAATCCAGCCGAGCCAGGATACGAGTAATGCTTTGGGTCGTGACCGGTCCAAAGAGTGGAACATTGCATTCATAATGTGTCGTAATGAGCCAGGAGCAGTGGTCTTCTTCGTCTACGGCGTCCTCGTTCAAGGGCCCTGGAATCGCTTCGCAGGCTGGGTTCATGTGAGCAGATTTGGTGTTCGGATGTGTTCGGGAACCATCGCGGTCCACGTGCTCGGTTTTGGGTGAGGTTTGGTTTGCGCTGAGACATTGGTGCCAGTTTTGATTTTGGCAGGTCTGGCACAGCTGGCTGGAGCAAAATTCCAGGGCGCCAGGAGCCCAGCAGCCCCACACGTGCACCAGCGTGCAGGAAATTGCGGATGTCGTCAGTTTGGTGTGTTAAGACTTGCGTGTGGTGGTCAACTCATGCCAGGAGGCAGTTTGGCTTAGATTCTGGCTTCTGGGACTAGAGCGCGACGGTGCGCCTGGATGTATTGTTGGGGTACCCGCGACCAAGATTTGACCCCGCGACAGTGCGCGACGGTTGCGCGACAGTTGCGCGGCTCTGGTGTCCTATTCTAGACAAATCAGTGTTTTTCCATGTTGTACTTATGTTTCGGCATTGTGAGGCATTGTGTGGTCAAGTTGAGTCAAGTTGATTCAAAATACATCGGCCGAGAGCTTTGAACCTGATTTGCGGCCCAATTGTGCCATTCTTGTCCCGCCCAGGCCTCCCGGGTCTCCCGCTTCGTTTTGGAGCTGGAGGAGCCCGAATCTCAAAGGCCAGAGGTTTTGCTCGTGCTGGAGCGTTGGGCCATGGGAAATTTGCCAGTGCATCCTCGGAATCCTGTGTCCAGAGCCTCGTGTATATGCCGATGACCGCATGAATTCTGTTCGAGCTCAAAGTCAGCTCATGTGTTCTTGGGTGTGAGTGAGTGAGCAGGGTGAGCCTCAGGAATCCCGCATCCATGGTCCATGGCCTTGTGACCTTCTGTATATAAGTGATCGCATGACTTGTGTTCCTGGTGAAACTCAGTCTTGGGTGAGTCAGTGAGCAGGATCAGCCTCAGGAGGCTGGAAATAGTTGAGCACTAGGCCACTAGACTGAAAGCTGGGTTGGAGGATAAGTATTCAAATCGGTTGGATATATGTACTTTAGATTCATAGGCATTCATAGGGTCGCCCGTGATGTCGAAAAGGAGCCAGGTCCCGTCTGGCAACCGCGGTGGGCCTCCTAGCAAGCTCGTGCGCCTGCAGACAGAAGAGTTTGGGCATCCTAGACCTGTCACAGAGTCCTTCCTGGGGCGGGGTTGGAGTGCAATGATGCCCAGCGTCCTGTGCGGATCTCTGGTCTGGTCGTGTCAGCATGAAAGGGAGCTGCTCATGAGAGAGCTTTTCGTGGCTCTGGGGTGGCCGGCTCGTGCTGGGCGACAGACGGAGCACGAGGAGTTTCCGTGGGCTGTGGAGCACTTGGATGCATCTTCGCGTGGGAGGCTGGCTAAGATGCTCGGCAACAGCATCCACTGCAAGGTTCTTGGCTTGTTGGCAGTGTATGCCCTTGTGATCACTGCCCAGAAGCAGTCACAGTGAGCTTGGATGCCGAAGGAAAATGTGTTTTGGCAGCTGCGTGATGTGCTAACTGCTAACTTCCGCGAAAGTGTGATTAACATGCAACTACAACAGGGGTAGTGTTGAGTGTCGATTGCCAGTGCGGGCTGATGCATTTCCTTGAGCCCTTCGCAGAACTTCTCCAGTCGTAATTAAACATACTACATGTTGCTGCGTGCTGCTCAGGTCATCTGCTGTTGCTTTCCTCGAGCTCACGTGCTTCCCCAGCTTGATGGAGGCCAGCTTTATGGGAATTTATGCAAGGGAGCTGTTGAGTCATCAGCCTGAGACCCCACGACCAGCAGGTTCCCACTAGGCTGCAGCTTGAATCTGTTGCCGCTGTGAGCCCATCAGTGATCTGATCCGGAGCCCGGAAGCTTCGAGAAGGCTTCTGCCAAGGGCAGGGGTGGGGGGAGGGGGAATCCCAAAGCGAAAGCAGCCCAAAACCGTGAGACGGACGATCGTCAAAAAGTGCAAAGGATGTCGGAAGAAGCTCCAGCCGGGCGAGGCCGCGCCAAACTGGCCCGGCTGTTGGGGATGCAAATGTTCGTTGGACAACATATGGACGCTTGAAGGCTTCAAGGCCGTGGAATTCGTGAGCCAGGTACGCTTTGAATGCGATGAGACCAAGCTCTACAACCTCATCCAATCCTACAACGAGAAGTGCCCGGAAACGACGGACGGGAATAGCGGCATGGGGAAAAAACGTGGATGTTGGAACCTCATCAAGTACATCGAACGTGTGACCGCAGCGAGGGGTTTGAAGGCGAAGTGATGTGGGAACGGCTTTTCCTCGCACATGCTCAGAGCACCCGCGGTGGAAGGATCACCGAGGAGGCCGCGCAGAGCCAATGGAACGAGTGGTCAGCGGCGGTGAAGGGCCCCAATCCCAAGGCCTCTGGCGTGCTGTTCGATTACGACGGTCCTCAAGGCAAGCTTCGCATCTGGGTGAAGACGGCCGACAAGATCATCTACCGGAGCCAGTACATGAAGGAGAAGGAGATCCATTGCGAGGGGGACACGACCAAGAAAGCCACCGACGAGGATGTTGACAAACTCCGACCGGAGCTACTGCAGAACCATGGCCACGGCATGGACTTCGACCACATTGCACCAGTGCTTGCCCAGAGCGGCAAAGATGCCTTCAACTCCAACGATGGCTTCATGCTGGACATTCTGGAGCTGCAGGAGGACACCATGGACTTTGAAGAACCTGCGGAGCCCGAAGCACCCAAAGTTTGGGTGGAGCGGGATCGCGTTGTGTCTTCCAGCTTTCGCGCGGCCACATCCCAGCATGAGATGTTCGTGCAGAAGCTGCTAGAACAGCTCCAGAAACAGGAGCACGCTGAGAAGGAGACCCTGGCGGAGATGGGCGACAAGCAGAAGGAACACTTGGCCGGGGAGCTCAAGTGTGGCGGGTCAGGTTGTAAGCGATGGCGATTTTGATGAAACTTTGCATCCCCTCTTTGTGCAGATTTTACCATGTACTGTGATTTGTGTTTTGCCTTAGGCCTTTCCACTTTTCACGTCGAACGTTTTCGTAGGTCATGCATGACATGAGCTCATGATGATCTAAATGCTTGGACGCAACCGAGGCCCAAAAGAGTGCTTGAAAACACTTTGCAGTTTTTCATGGTAGCGGAGCACTGGAACACCCGGTGCTCCTTAGGGGATCTTCGGGTCTTGGTTCAGGGGCCATCGAGCAAGCAACCTTTGATCTGCTGTTCAGGGCAAGGGCTTTCGGGCATTTACTTCCGTAGTTGAGCCGAGCCATAGCTTTACGGCCTCGGGAAGTTTTCCCCGACGTGCCAAATTTGCCGAGCAGCCTGGCGTGACTGTGCGAGCTTGTCTGGATTGCGCAGCATTTGCTTGCGAGTTTCCTTTGTGATATCATGGCCGCAGAAGGAGTTCCGATAGAGGACAGTGATGATGATTTGCCGGTGCTTGAAGCAGTTCCAGGGCCGGCGCTGCCGGCGTCAGGAAATCCGTTTTCTCCTGCGAGTGCAAGCCCCGAGGGTACCATTGTCATGACCCTCAGCATGCTGAGTGACATTATGCAGCAGCTTGCAAGTGCAACCAAAACAGCCAGTGAAGCAGCCGCCGCTGCAGTTGCAAACTCGTCTCGCGGGTCAGGTTCCGAGGGTCAGGGCTTCACCGCTGCCAGCAAGATTCTCAAGTATCCTTCAGATTTTGGTTCTGAGAGCCACGAGACAGACCTGAACCAGTGGCAGGATTTTACGCACCAGCTGAAAAGCTGGCTCATTTTTGCTGAATCTGCTTTTGAAGCTGACTTGGCCGCTATTGAGGCGAACCTCGGAACACCTGCCGCGCTTTCTTCTATGACTGCAGAGCAAGCCACGCGTTCTATGAAGCTTTATGCAATTCTTCCTTCTATTTTGAAGCATCGGCCAAAAGCTATCTTGAAAGAGGTTGAGAACCGCTGTGGATACGAAGCCTGGAGAAGGCTTACAAATGCACATGCCCCCAAGACTCGAGCGAGGTCCATGGCAGTGTTATCGGCATTGATGCAAACGCCGCACTTCACCAAAGACAGAACTATGAGGGAGCAGATACAAAACATGGAGAGAGTAGCAGCTGAGTATGCCAAGATCAGTGGCCAGACAGTGGGCCCTGATGTCATGCTCGGCACCCTCATCAGGGTGCTGCCGGCGCAGGTGAGGCAGCGCTTGCAGCTGTCATTGACCGAGAGCTCGAGCTATGCATCGGTGAGGGACTACATTCTTTCCTGTGGGCTTTCTAGCTCGTTCAGCAAGCTTTGGGTATGCTGCCCGGTTCGAGTTCCAAGCCTGACCAGGGATTGCAGCCACTGGACGTTGACCAGGTAGGTGCCATCACGCGCAAAGGCAAGGACAAAGGGAAGGCCAAAGGAAAGGGAAAGGACAAAGGGAAGCCCAAAGGAGCGAAGGGAGACCACAAAGGAAAGAAGGGCAAGGCGGATGGCAACCGGGACACGAAGGGCAAAGGAAAGCAACAGCAGCAGCAGCAGCAGCAGCAGCAGCAGCAGCAGAAGCAATCTGTGTGTCACAATTGCGGCCGGCCGGGCCACTTTGCTCGTGATTGCTGGCGGCCCCGTCAGGTTCAGGACGTCACCGTGGATGCGACGATGCAACCAGGCCAGGCCAGCACCGCTGCTGCCAGTACGAATGTTCCCTCGAGTGCTTCTAGTGCTGCGCCTTCCTTGCCGAGCACAGCCGTGCGCCAAGTGATTGCTTCGCCCTTCGTGTGTGACATGTCTGACCTTGAACTGCCTAGTGAGCCCAGCCGCCTTTGCATGGTTTCGGTTGCCAGTGCCAGTGAACCTGAGCATTTCAGCTCGACTCCTCCGATGACGACGGTGTGTGGACCTTACCTGCTTATGAAGACGTTGCTGTGAGCTCCGGCAGCGACACAGGATCATTTGTCAAAGTCAGGGCCGTGACGGCGGCCGGTGCCACAAGTGTGTGATTGTGGATAGTGGGGCAGATGTGTCTTGTGTGCCCCTCAGCTACCGCAGCAGTGGGAGGAAAGCCAGCGCAGGTCGCAAGGTTCAGGTTCAGGATGCCCAGGGTGCACCGATCGATGTGCAGGAGGAGCGCATGATTGACTTTGTCATTGGCGCCGGCACCCCTTTCTGAAGTCACTATTCGCGAACGCTGTGTGGTCTCGCAGGTGAGCCAGCCACTCGTGAGCATGGGCCGTTTGATCGCCCGTGGGTGGTGGCCTTGCAAGGGCGTTGAAGGCATGTGGTTGAGTCATGAAAGCAGTGGTGCCGAGATTCCTTTGGGTTTGCGTGGCATGTCCTTGACGATGCAAGCTGTGCAACAAGTGCCAGCCAGAGTTCAGGTGCAACAGGTGCCAGCCAGAGTTCAGGTGCAACAAGTGCCAGCCAGAGTTCAGGTGCAACAGGTGCCAGCCAGAGTCCATGTGCAACAAGTGACAGCCAGAGTTCATGTGCAACAGGTGCCAGCCACAGAGTCCATGTGCAACAGGTGCCAACCAGAGTCCATGTGCAACAGGTGCCAACCAGAGTCCAGGTGCAACAGGTGTCAGCCAGAGTCCAGGTGCAACAGGTGCCAGCCACAGTCCAGGTGCACCAGGTGCAACAGGTGCCAGCCAGAGTTCAGGTGCAACAGGTGTCAGCCAGAGTCCAGGCACAGGTGTCGTGAGTGTTAGGGTCATTGGCCGTGCCATCCCAAGCAGTGTCATTGATGCTTTTGAGTTCGGGTGGCAAGTCGCTGGATCAGCGCACTTGGTGTGGCGAGGCATTTCCTCGCTGATGATCGATCCCTCTGTGATGGCTCCCGACCGACAGCTGGCCGTTCAGGTCAACACTTATGCGCCGCAATGAGCGCATGCCTTGGTTCGTGATTGAGCATTGTGCCAAGTGGGATGAACTTGAGGACGTTGAGGAAAGTATCCCCGCAGGCGGGGAAGCTGAGCTGATCGTGATCCTTCATGTTCAGCACGAGCCGCTGGATGCTGCAGGGATCGAGGTTTCCGATAGGATAATGGGTGACGTTGAGGCTCCAGCTGGGAGCTCAGACCAGCAAAATGATGTTCGTGATGAGTTTGCTGATGAAATCATGGTGGAGGCTCCCGAGCAGGAGCGCGCCGTTGAGCCTGATGTTGTGCATGCGCCCAGGGTTCTTCCCGACATGGAGGAGGCCGATGCAGGCCAGCGTCCCGAAGGCGCAAGTGATCGCGAGTCGGTCACTGTTGATGGTGTGGAACTTTCGTATGGGAGCCCTCTGCAAACTCTTAAGGCTGCCTGCCAGAAGCTCGGGTTGCGAACATCAGGGTCAAAGAGCCGACTTTTCGAGCGTGTTCGGGGTTACCTTGATAAGCAAAAGCTGTCTCTGGAGCATGACATTGCGCGCGATTCCCAGAGTGTTGAGTCGAGGCAGCCCCGCATGCAAACGTTGCCATAGCCACCCTCACCGCAGGAGCAGCTCATAAATGAGGTGACTCACACACCATTTGCTCCATGGTGTGGCCGTTGCATAGCGATGAGATCCCTTCCGGATCGTGCAGAGACAGTGTCCAGTGGGCCAAGGGATGTGGCTAGTGTTTCCTTTGACTTCTTTTACACAGGCTACGAGCCAGAGAAGAAGGAGGTCGTGGAGCGACGGCCCGAGACCGAGGATGATGCCAAGGACCTCCTTTGTTGCCTCATAGCACATGATTCGGTGACCTGGGCAGTGTTGGCAGTTCCCACGGCGAGCAAAAGTGCCACCCGGCACTTAGGTGTCGAACTGATGCGATTTGTGCAGTCGCTCGGCCACAGCGTGGTTGAGCTGCGTTGCGACCAGGAGCCAGCGACGCTTAAGTTGCAAAGAGCAGTTGTGAATGCCAGGCTTCGCTTAGGCCTCAAAACGCTTGAGAGGAATCCACCGATTGGGTTCCACCAGTCAAACGGTGCTGTTGAGAAGCAGGTGGATTTGGTGAGGAAGCTTGCGTGCACGTTCCTGGAGTTCCTTAGAGAAAAGAGTGGGTGCCAGATCACAAGCAGCCACCCGCTGTTTGCATGGAGCTTCATCCACGCGGCTTGGGTCCGGAACCGCTTTGCTGTCACAGGCGGCCTGACCGCGTATGAGAGAACAACCAATGCTGCCTACACTGGCAGGCTTGTGGTGTTCGGGGAACCGGTCTTCTGCTTTGCTCTTCCCCGTCGCAAAGGCAATCCCCGCTGGATCAAAGGAATATTTCTCACCAAAAGTGTTTCCTCAGACATGTATGTGTTGGGAACCAATGGCGGCATCAGGCTTTCCCGGGCCGTTCGCCGCACAGGCCAGGAGTGGAGTCTGGATGCTCCTTTGTACAACGCCCTCACCGCGCTGCCTTGGGATTACAATGTTGTGGGCACCCGGGTCGTACCCCCAGCAAAGACAAGGAAAGCGATTGCCGCCGATGACGCGCAGGCGGGGTTCCAAGATGCCAGCCGCGACGAAGCAGCCAGCGATCCTCCTGAGACACCCGTCCCAGTAGGTTTCGGTTTAGGCACCCCGCACCCGGCCGGTGGCATAGGCGAGGTAGAGCTTAGTGCCCCGACTCCCGCCGGACAGTTGCCTCCTACACCTATGAGCGCACCGTCGCCGCGCCAACGCCGAGAAAGAAGCTACACTTGGACAGGCCACCGCCAGCAAGTGCACGTGTGAACCCAGAGATGGGAATGCCATCTCCGGTTCTTCTGGGGCCGACCCCAGCCTGGGCGGTCAGCTTGGACCGCAGACGCCAGATGAGCAGCTAGAGCCGCTTGAGCCGATGACCGGTGTTACTGATGAAGGTGCGCCGGGCGATGACGAGAGGGCAGGAAAAGCCCCCAGAATCCGTGCAGTGACTCTTGGGACTCAGAGCTATGATGTCAACGATGAGGGCTTTGAGGCAGACTTTGAAGAGCTAGCAGACCCAGGGATGTATATGAGCAGCTGACCCATGGGTGGTCAGATGATGAACCAGCTGATGCCAGCAACCATGGACCCGACTCGGCAGTGAAGGACGAGGCGGGGCACGCAGCATTGGCAGAGTCTCTTTGGTTTCGTGGTGAAGGGTCAGAGCCTAGCCTTACGCCAGAGCAGCTTGCTGAATTGGACAGGATCGCAGATGAAGTGGAAGTGAGTCGGTTGTTAGCAAAGGGTGTTCCCCGCCCAGCAACACCTGAGGACCCAATGGGGTCCATGAAGCGGTTGGGCACGAAATTCGTGCGGTCTTGGAGAAGCAAGCGAAAGGCAGGCCAGAAGTATTACCTTAGGCGGTCAAGATTTATAGCACGTGAATTTAGGTGGCTTGAAGAGCAGCAGGGCTTATTTTCCCCAAGCACATCGGCGAACCTGGTGAAGCTTCTCCCGACCTTGTTTGCAACGTGGCGACAGACCAAGACGGAGATCAAGTGGAGGGTAGCTTCAATAGACGTTAAGGATGCGTATTTAGAAGTGCCGCAGCAGAGTCCGGTCGTTGCCGATCTCCCGTCTGACTACGCGGGCCAGGGACGATACGGGTTCCTGAGGTGCGTACCGGGACAAAGAGACGGGTCACAGCGCTGGTATGATTATTATACGGATTACATGAAGGGTGAGTTCAACCTGGAAACATGTTTGGAGAATCCAGCTGTGATGCGAGTGCCGCAAGGACCCATGCTGCTACATGCCGATGATGAGTTGTGCCTCGCTCCAGTCGATTGGCTCAGGGACACGTTGGTGCCTACATTGCAGAAGCGCTTTGAGATTTCAGTTGAGATAGCATGTGAAGTCGGAGAATCATTTGGTAACAGCGCCTGGTACGTGACCGGCGTTTTGTGGCGTAGCTGAAACAGGCAATGTGCTAAAACCTAGGGCAAACGTGTATTATGACTGGAAAGTTGTGCTAGGAAAGGCGGAGAATCCCTGTGACAGGTCGATCGTTTTAGCGAAAAAGGTGATGGCGCTGCAGGAAAAGCCACTTTTGCGAGCACCGCGCTGCGCAAACTTGGTCTGAGTGGACGTTAATATGGTTGATCCGTGGATGCTCTGCGTCAATGAGATCTGGTCTGAGTGGACGTTAACATGGTTGACCTATGGATGCTCTGCGTCAATAACATGGACCACCCATGGATGGTTTGGGCGACGTGGGTTGTAGCAAGCGCCGAACACACCGGAATTACCGGTGTGTTGGGCATATGACCCCAAGGAAACATGGCTTCGATCAGAACTAGAGCTTGGGCCTGCCTGCGACAGAAGTGCGCGGTTCTGGGACTTACAGGTCGGGGCTGGCCGGAATTAGCCCCCCCCCCCCACCCCAGAAAAGTGAGAGGACGTACAGGACGCACACCAGGCGCTGTCACCAATCATTTACATTTGTCAAGCGGAAGCATACAATCTTGGAGCATGGTATACTTGTGCAAACGCCCGAGACCTACATCCTGCAGATGGCGAGCATTCTTGGCATAAAGCATGCAGGGAAACAGAACACACCATACACACCTGAGCTGATCAAAGAGGATAGGACAAAGCCTTTGTGCGCCGCCGACGCCTCGAAGTTCAGGTCGGCATTGGGAGTGGCGCTTTACATGAGCAATGACAGACTTGATGTTTGCTTTATCGTGCGGTTGCTCGCAGGGTTCATGGCAAATCCAACTGAGCTTGCTATGCGTGGATTGGTGAAGCTTGTCAAGTATTGCATGGCAACGATTGATTATGCAATGATTCCGCCCAAACTTCCGGGATCAACTGTGTTTCGAGCTTCTGAGGACACTGGTGTTCATTGCATGGAGATCTATTCGGATGCTGATTGGAGTGGCCACCGAGTCACTCGCAAATCATATGGTTCCGCAACTTTTGCAGTGGGCGGTGCAATCATTCACCACATGTGCAGGTCCCGTCGTACAGTGTCGATGTCGAGCACGGAATCAGAATGGTACGC